TATATATATATATATATATCAGCTCCTTATCTATCATTTAAATCCTCCTTATCTATCATTTAAATCATATCTTATTGAAAAAAATTTCCATGCACAAGTTTTTATAATAAATATCATCGCTTTGAATATTACAACTAGTTGCAAATCCATTAGATCACTGGGAACCTTAAAGAGATGATCCTTCCTTTGATATTGGGAACCTTAAAGATGTAATCCTTGCTTCGACACTGGTAATCTTAAAGAGGTGACCTTACTTCAACATTTTGAGAACTTTAAAGAGGTGACCCTTGCTTCGACACTCTGAGAATCTTAAAGAGGTGACCCTTACTTCAACATTCTAGGAACCTTAAAGAGGTGACCCTTGCTTCGACACTGAGAACCTTAAAGATGTGACCCTTACTTCAATACTCTGGGAACTTTAAAGAGGTGATCCCTATTATGGTCCTTAATACCCTTGCTTCAACATTATGGGAACTTTAAAGAGGTGACCCTCACTACGACACTGAGAACCTTAAAGAGATGACCCTTGCTTTAACACTCTGGGAACCTTAAAGAGGTGGCCCTTACTATGGTCCTTAAAGAGGTGACCCTTGCTTTAATATTCAGGGAACCTTAAAGAGGCGACCCTTGCTTCAACATTCTGAGAACCTTCAAGAGATGACACTTGCTTCAGCATTCTAAGAACCTTAAAGAGGTAACCCTTGCTTCGACACTGGGAACCTTAAAGAGGTGACCCTTGCTTCCATACTGAGAACCATAAAGTGGTGACCCTTGCTTCAACACTCTGGGAACCTTAAAGAGGTGACCCTTGCTTCTACAAAAGTGCAACAAAATAAAGGATCTACGCGTTCAACATTCTGGGAACCTTAAAGAGGTGACACTTGCTTCAACATTTTGGGAACCTTAAAGAGGTGACCCTTACTACAGCATTCTACGACCCCTACTACAGTTTTTAAAGAGGTGACCCCCACTACGGTTATCAAAGAGGTGACCCTTACTTCAGCATTTTAGGAACCTTAAAGAAGTGACCCTTACTACGGCACCTTAAAGAAGTGATCCTTACTACAACAGTTTAGAAATCTTACAGAGGTGATCCCTACTACGGACCTTTAAAGAGACGACCCTTAATATAGCATTCTGGGAACCTTAAAGAGGTGACCCTTGCTTCGACACTCAAAATTTTAAAGAGGTGACATTTGCTTCGACACTCTGGGAACCCTTGTTTCAGCATTCTGCGAACCTTAAAAAGGTTACCTTTAAAATTGATCTCTCTAAGAGGGTGAGTTTACTACACTTAGAAAACTCTTTAGAATTTTCAAGTCAAAAATTCCAAGCAGTATTAAAAAGCCACTAGGGCCTCCAACGAGGGAGAGGAAATAATACCAAAAGCAGAGGGAAAAATAAATGACAAAGCTTTCAACAATTAGAAAAAATTCAAAAGAAAAGAATAAAAAGATTAAAGAAATTATGTGTGGATCTTCTTAAATTCGTCAGAAAGTTGGAAGTCCTCAACGGCTTCAGCACCAATTTCCTTGCATCTCTTTCTAAACTCCTCGGAGGCAAGGCAATCCTTAGCAGCTTCTTGGCGCCAACCTTCTTCTCCTTCACGAAGCCTTCAATCAGCTTCACTAAGGTACTTCTCCCTGGACACCTCAATTTTCTTTTAGAGCTTCTCCTATTCCTCTTGAAGTTTATCCACCTTTTTAGCCTCGTCGGCTTGATCTTTCTTGGCGAGGTCCTTCTCCTCCATGGCAATCTTGGAAATGAGTTTCTCAACATCGAGGAGACTCTTTAAGCTCACCTCGAGCTAGTTCATCTCTTTCCTCTGCTTCTGAACTTTGATCAATTCAATCAGATTGAAAAGGGAAAGAATGAGGGCCTACAAGCGGACAAGGCAATTACGGTTAGAAAAAGCATAAGGAAGGTAAGTAAAGCTTCAAAATTTAGAAAGGATGAGGCATACATCAACTTAGTAGAAGACTTATTTTCTCATGCAGTTAACAAGTGGAGATCTGGAGATCACAACCAAATTTTTATCAATGAAGTTCTCATAAATAGCCTGAAAGGTAATGGAAAAACATTGTGGAAGGTCCAATGCAGCTTCTCTTTGGGCACCGAGGACGTCGAAGATAAGATATAATAAGTCTTTAAGAAGCATCTTTAAAGAAAATCAACGGATACATGAATGATTTCATGCTAAAAACAACAGAGTTCAAGCATCTTTCTACAAAAATTGAAAATGAAAAGGCATGATCTACCGGCCCAGATCTCACCATTTAAATGGTCATAGGAACATTTAACACAACGACATGATAAGTGACGTAATCAACGAGACTATTATACTTCTTAGCATCTTTAGTGACAGAGGCGTCATTGCTTAAAGATAAAATCCTTCACGAGTAAGCAAGCCTTAAGGAGGAATCAAAGAAGACCTATTTTCTGATCAAAGCTTGAAGCAATCCATTGAAATGCCTCGACTTGGGGGTAGATATTGTAAGGTAAAAATATAGACCTACTAAGAAGGCCCAATATCATTAAAAAGCCCATTAAGAGCATAAGGACAACTCAGCCCTCGTGCCACATCATCAATATTAAGCAATAACGGTAAGAAGTCGACCCTTCTAGAAGCTTCAAGAATGTTTAAGGGGATGAGGCTTCAGGCTATACCTAAGGAGAAGAAGCTTCGTCCAATCCTTACGAAGTTAAGGCTTCTCAAGATTAAGAAAGTGTTTAAGGATCGTAAGACCAAGTTTTAAGGAGTCGAGGCTTCGCAAGGCTCCAAGAAGTGTTCAAGGA